AGCCTTCCTGTTTGGTGTTATGCTGACAAATCCCTTCATTTAGGTTGCATCGTATCACTCAAGCACGGAAACGTCATTAGATTTTCAAGGGCCTCAATTGTATTTCCTCTCTGTCGGGACTGTTTTATCTATATGTTAGACAAACCCTTGCAATAAAGAAGTCCCTCCCCCCATCTTCCGGGATGCAGTAACTTTACAGCGCCGATAACATCTCCGTTTAAGTAGCTGTAGCTCCTATAATATGTTTCAGCACACAGTAATTGTTATATATAAAATCTGGGCTAATCACAGGCGTGATCTTCCAAAATAATGTTATCAGGAAATAATATAATATATAATACAACTTTTTCCACACTGATGCGTCTCAAACAAACCATAAAACGATGAACATATTCACCAGCAGATCTACAGAAGCATTTTACACTCACAGTTCCCTGACAAGGACAAATTCCTTCACCTCCCATCAATTCCCCATCCAAGCAATACTGGAACACTTCCTCTATATCAGATTTCAGACACATATCCTTTAGAGCGGGCACTCTCCTCTAATCGGGAGGGATAAAAACCCTAAATCTAAATGCCTCATACAAAGTCACTGTTCCAGTAGAATTGCACTGGCGCTAAAGGTTTGACTTGGTAGGGCTGGCTAATCAAAGTCATTGTTACGTCCGTTTGCACGTTGTGGCCTACACAGATAGGAATAAATATATATTACATCATATTAGTTCAGATTTCCTTTGATGCACATTCTGAAGCTAATTATTCTAGTGGATTATTCATCGTAATTCGTGTCATTTACAACAATATTAGCGTTATAGCATGCATTTTCAACAAAAACTTAATACACATGAAACGATCTAATGACGACCTTTTGTAACACTTAGTTCAGATGTTCCACACACTTTGAGCAATTCTGGATCCTGCAAATATGTTTTATTAGATAAATATAAAAGCTATCGCCTTGCGTGTAGAAATATTGTAGTTACCACTTATTGATTTTATCAATATAGTGCCTGTAAACTGCGTCAGCTTATTCATACTACCAAGTGTAAGTTATCAATATGTGATATGAGCTCCGTTATATTTTACTGTACTGATGATGCCTATAAACCAACATTTTTCAAGTATGATAAACTGAAAACAATTAATACTATTGTAATTATAGTCATTTATTGAGAATAATGGAAAGCATCTCAGATCGTCATATAAATACATACATAAAACTTGGGTACTATGGCAGTAAGTAATTCCATAGTAGTTTGTTCATTAGCTATATCACAGTGTGAAACAGTTTTGTTTACTGCATGAGTTCTTAAACAAAATTTATTGTTTATAATCACATCAATTATAACCACATGACTTCGAAACTTGAGTCTTATAGTTTTCTTTGTTCTCTCCTATTTGTCGTTGTCGGGGTAGTAGAATTTTCCAGATATCTGGGACAGGCGTTGAATCATTCCTATCACACGTGTTTCCAGTTTGATTCGATGAACAAAGTTATCAATCTCTCTCTCCACCCTGTTACATTACATTTTAAAACTGTCATCTAATCCCATCCTATTGTATGGTTGTGTGTAATTGCATGTAGTGAGTGGTATAGCTGAACTATTCTCTAGATTTCTTATCTTATTCGGGTCAACCAATCTAGATTTTGCTAGGTTTATATGCTCGACTAGTCTGACCGGCTACCCCTCTTCTACTACTTTGACCTATGTATTTGACCTGGCAATCATCCCAGACAGGGTATTAGATAAATTAAATTGTTTTGCTTTAAAGGCTCCACAGGATCGTTTAACTGACATCGCTTGTTTCTAATTGAGTTTGTGGGTTTGAATGCCAGCCACTTTTATTCCTGCCCTGTTAATAATTCTGCATGAAGTTTCTGAGGTTACTTCATTGTATAGAATCACTACTGATGATTTAGATTCCTCATTGTTGGTGTTGTTATTATCCGGCGCATGTTTGAAATGCATGTCGTCATTATTATTATTACCACTATCACTACTATTATTATGAACTTTACTTTTATGTTTCCCTACATACTTCCTGATTAATTTATCAGGGTAATTACTAAGTTTCACAGCCTCTCTTATATGCCGCACTACCCGTCTTAGGTACTACTTAGTTTTTGTGCTCTGTCACTTAAACATTTTACCAATCCTATTTTCCTGACATAGGATGGGATGATCGGAAATCCAAATATCTGTTTGAATGTGTGAGTTTTCTGTAAACACTAGCGTTCAACTTCCCATCTTTTTCAAGCACATTAACTCTAAGTCGGAGGTAATTCAATTCTCTCATGAATTCGTAATTCACGAACGAGAGCTTCCGAAGATAGATTGTAGCGTATATCTTGTGGTGAGAATGCTGGAATACGTTGGACCTACAAGAGCACACATGAAGGTCTGGTTTTATTTTGAGGTTAATCTATGCCGCTAAAAGCATTTCCGCTAGACTAGTGCGCGTATTCAATAACCTCTACATTCACTTGACAATGAAGATCAAAAAGTTGGCTAGAAAGAAAAAGAAATGAGGAAGTTTGTTAGGGAACCCGTCACGAATATAACCCTCAACAATCGTGCAGAAGGAATGGAGAGGTACTGCTGAGCAGGCCTCTGATTGGCATCCCACATAGGGCCTTCACGAGTAAAAAATTAAGAGCTGGATGTCTGAGGGTGACATGGATAAAGTCACCTAAGAAAATGTAAGGTGGTAGGCAGTCGCGTAACTTCCTACAAGTTATTACAGAGAACAGAATTAAATGAGGATATACTTTTCACTTGGAATGCAGTCAACAATTATTAGGTGAAGTGGAAACAAGTGTTATAGTTATTTGGTCTTCAGAAAGTTTTCGCTTCCTGAATTTGAAGTGTGCGACACTAATTTGTCACTTAATTCTTTTTTGATTTAATGTGCCTCAGCATTGTGTTCATTTTGGATTCACACAACAATAAAGACATGACCATCTGCAAACTTATATGAAAAAAGTATAATATAGATACCAAGAGCCACTTCTATATTTAAAAGCAAACCAACATTCACATCAGACTTAATCAAGCTTCCCACCATCTTCTGGTTGGCAGATTGAGACTGAGATGAGAAAAGATCACTCTATGTGCGAATCTAAATTCTATACCAATTTCTTTCGACCATGGTTTATGTGCCATCTGTGTTGGCTTCTCAGAGGTATCCTTGAAGGAGAGAAAAATTTGAAAAGGTCGGTTTTCAAATCTCCCTTGGATGTACGATAATACAAGATCGATTTAACCATTCCGCTTTCGCGTGCTAATGAGTAATAGTTAAGATGCTGCATTCTGTTATCATAAGGAGTGTGTGAGACATCACTGACTAATTTAGTCTCAAATCTTTATGCTCTCATTGAGACCCTTAGCTGCTTGCAGTATGGACCAGCCTCGTGTATACGGGATTCTATTTGGAACCCGACATGTTCAGCGGAATACTTTACATATAGGCCTACCAAGGCGTTCGAAAGACCTTCAGAGTGTCCACATCATTCAAAAAGCTTCAGCTGCAGATGTGATATAATATGAAGTTTTCAAGTCGCACTGTGCAGCAGTTTCCAAGTCTTTTCTTCTCTTAAAATCAGAGAGTTCTATATCTGCTATTTATTGCAGCATATGGGACCTCTTGCCTAGATGCGTTACTTCGCCTTTACTGGAATCGAATTCTGAACCTCACAGTTTGGACCATTCATTCAGTCTATCCAGATAACATTTAAATCCGGTATTTCACCGATGCTGCTTATAGTTTTCCGCGTCAGAACATCCACAATAAATAATGAAGATGGGATAAGGGTTTTCGGCAACTCGTTTATGTATACTAGGAATGACATGGAGCCCAGAACAGTAGCTTGTCTTAATTTACTCGACACCAGTTTGCGCCCCCAGAAGCACACTATTAATCATTGCACTTTTGCCTTCTTCCTGGTATGAAGTCCCTAAACTAGCGACATAGGCAGTGGACATAACAAACACTGTTAATTTACTGAGGCCCAAATCAGATACCCTGTCGAATGCTTCATATGGATAGACATAAACTGCGTCGAACAACAGGGTTTTATCCTTGACCTCTGTCTAATTTTCCTTAGCTAACAGTAAGTAAGCAGTGTCTTCCTGGTCTGAATCCAAGCTGTTCCTCCTCTAGTAGTTCATGTTTCTCTTTATGATTTCATGATTAATCCTAAAACTTTAGCTGTAATGCATGTCGGACTTCCAGGTTAGTCGTTAGTCACTGATTATCTGTTGATATCTTTGCAAGTGAAGACTGTAAATGAGGACTTCCCATCCCTAGATGACAGACGTTTTAGGTATTTCAGTTAGCGTTAGCTACATCATGTCAGTCAGTGAGACTGCCTGTCTAGTGTGGGATCCATCAGGCGCTCGTAACTTACGTTGCCTCGGTTCAGACAGTAGTTTAAGAACCTCTGCATCACCCACCGAAATCTGGATATTCACGTGGTGGAGGTAGTGATCCCGTCAAAATCCTGGGTGCAACTGTCAGATGAGGAAAAATCAAAGGTTTTGGGAATTTTCCTTAGCCTTCCCTTCATTAGATGAGGCCGCCTCGTCTGTATTTCATATTTCTGCTGGCATATTACCATTTATTTGATTCGTGCATTTTTTGTGTGCACGCACAAAGTAGGTGGTCCAACAACAACAGTCTGTCTAATTATGCACCACTGTCGTTGGTCACATACGTGCTCAGGTTCCAAACGTCAAGATAGTATATCCTGCACTCCTCCCTGCCTGTTTCAGCAAAATGACCCGACAATTATTTCTCACCCTTAGTGTCCTTATTTCACTGTTTCTCAAAGAAGCTTTATGTGATGGCCTTCGAGGAGAAAACCAAGGCACGAAGGGTGATGTCATACATTTGCCACGCAAAAATACAGTGAAAATAGAAAAACATTCACTCAACATCTATTTGTGCGTAATAAAAATATTGAACATTGAAAATGAGGGCATTTTCTTGAGGTCAAGGTCACGGAAACACGTTAAACACTTTTCTGTTACTGGGACTTGCCATTTACCCATTGAAGGGAAAAGGCAATAATTCTTTCTGGCGAAACTGTTGATCGTATTTATAGTATTAGATTTTGAGACGAATCAAACTTAAACTTGGTATCTACTAGAGTAAAATTTAAGCACTAAGCAAGGAAACTTTTCTTTTGAAAAGTGCGTTTTCGGAATAAACAGATAAAAAATAACTCTTCCTGCTCATAAGTTGTAGATAAAGCTTACACTATTCTGCCGAAAGACCCGAAAGTTGCCTTAACTTAGCGACAATTGTTCCTTAGCGCATAGTTCTTTGCGACTACAGTGTTCGGTGATCATGGTAATGAAACCTGGTATCATGTCCGGTATGCCGTAAAAACAATAGCATGGGTTGCTTTTGAATTGTGGTGAGAAATTAGTGGGTTTCTGAGGAATCCATTCGGACAAAAATGGTAAAAACTAATAAATATTATTATATATTAGTTTTAAACGAATACAGTTGTATTACCTATGATAAGAAAATGGGAAAATTTTGGTTGTTTGACAAAATTTTTACTGATTTTACCATTTTCACATTTTGTTCATTATTTAGTCAACACTTTGTCACTAGTGAACCAAAATTTTTTACTCCACAATCATATAGCTTTTTGCTCATTGTTCTTTGTCCATTTTGTTCATTTAGAGTTTCTGTACTGCTACTTTTTACAATCGCTTTTTGTTTATTTGTTTGAAAATTGAATTACTGGTGGCTGACCGATTAACTGTGATATTGTCGTCGGGCTCACCAGTTGTTGTGCTGCTATATTTTGATTAAACTAGCGTACACATATATCCTAGTACTTCTTCTCGTTTATATTTGTGTCCTAACGTTGTGCTTACTCGACACACACAACGTAAATCAGAAGACACTTGAGAAGGTGTAGGAATGTGTATTCTCACCGTAATCAAAATTCAAAACTTGAGCGAGTACAAATGTATCAATTGTTAACATGCAAGATTTAGAGTAATAAACAAATCAAAGTACAATTACACAATGAAAGTATAGTACGATGATGAGTAATAAAATGGGTCACTACAATATTTCTCGAATAATATTACTGTCAGTGAAATGTATTGTTGATTTGAATACGAAGATTGTACAGTCCTTTTAGATGAAAACGACAAAATACAATAATCTGAACACCTTGCGCAAAAGTCAAAGAAGAATTTGAATGTGACTCGTTTCAGCCTAATGCTGTATTTCCGGTCTGTATTGACTCTTGGTCTAAAGATAATATCTGAATTAGTCGAATTTATAAGTTACTTAATTTTTGTGAATCTGCATCCTTCGTAATGACTAGTTGTCGATGAATTCTTAGCAGAGGCATCAAAGGTTCATTTGACATTTGTCAGTTTGCATCATTTGCACATTCTGCTCTCCATCAAAGGAACTATTTGTTGTGAAGCAGTACACTTTGTTACTGAGTCACCCAATTATCAAAATGCACTTGCTTAATAACATTTTCACTATATATAGTGCAATCGTAAAAAAAATGTTGAAGGAAACCTGAGTACTGCTAATTTGGGCCTTAACTGTATTTGATCTTGTTACTTGGCTTTCATCAGTGATGAAGTAAAATTTTAAGGGAACGTATAGATCATCCACTACAAATCGCATCTGAAAACTAGTGACATTTTTCTAATACATGAGTGAATCTCTAAATCTATCCGTTCTTGTAACAAGAACAAGTAAAGGACTATTATTTGTGTCGTGACAAGCATTCCACATTATCGATAGTCGTCTTTCAGGAAATGAAAAGCCCTGTGGAAACTGCACAGTAAATTGGCAAATTAAAACGGTTTAATTATATAAAGAAGCTCCTAAAATATACTTCTGGGTTCTAAAGATTGAGTAGCTGATATTTGTTTGCAATAAAAGTTTTATTTAAAGATTACTCAGCCTTCAATTATTTCAAATGCTATGTGTATATGATCGTAGTTCTCTTTGAATTATTTTAGAGACAGGTTATGGCAAATCTTGCCAGACAGTTACCAACATATATTTTTACGGCATGTGGGAGGAAATAGCTGTAAATTTATGCAAGAAAGTATCTGATACATTTTTGAGAGAATACCTACATACATTCTGTAGTGGCAGTGCACATCCTTCAGGTAGCAAAGAAAATAACGAAATAGCAGGTAACACCTATATTTTTCTTCTGTTCTATGAATTAGTTAAATATTCTTATTCCATTTACTTTATATCCCGTCTATTCTTATCGCCTTTGATTTTAATATTATCTGTATGCTTTGTTCATGACAGTGTAATAACTATTTGTAATACTAGTATTTCACAATGATAGAATTACAGGAAATCAAGCAACAACACAGAGAGGGATGAATTAAGGAATTTGTATTTGTCAGAATAATTTGTAATTCATATAATAAATATTAACAAACAACAGTAATTATTTAAACAATAGAGTAATAGAAATTGTCAATCATGACAGACAGTTATAGTTTCTTACATACAGATAACCTTAAATGGTAAAGATTCAAAAAAGATGCGTCAGATTTTGTTAACTCTGTAATTTCTCAATATTTCTGATTGTATGAACACTAAATATCTATCTGTGGAGTACATTTTAGTAACTGACATTATATTGTCTCTTTAATTACGTCATAAATTATTCTTTATATAAATTTAGGACTTCATAATTAGTATGCGGCTGGTCAGAAATCGATGAATTAAAATGATGTAGTGTTTGACTGCTTTGACCTGTGTTTTTACTTGTTGAAATTTGTAAATTGTGATTGATATCAGTTGGAGAACCACTGAAAACCAGGGGTTACTGGACAGCTGTTTCATCCTAGTTTGGCAATCATCGGCAGTACGCGCCCACTGCCAGGGTTCGAACCGAGGACCTTCTGGTTACAAGACCAACTCGTATACCATTCAGCCTCTGGGACCCGATTTAATAGTCAGTCCTTGATTTCTAACTTCCACCAATTCGTGATTTAGCGCGACCACCAACCAGTATCATCGGTGGGAAATCCATCCTCACACCTGATTGGATGGACCTCACTGGTCACGACTTCTCACTAGAACTCCAGGAAACTCCGTCCTGTAGCAAGTCACTAGCGAGCATGAGATTAAATTTCAAGAGTTGGTTTGTATACGAGCTTGCCTTGTAACCGGAAGGTCCTGGGTTCGAACCCTAGCAGTGGATGCGTACTACCGATGATTCCCAAACTAGGATGAAACAGCTGTCAGTATCCCTCGTTTTCAATGGTTCTCTAACTGATATCAATCTGTGGTCAAACTCGTAAAAACAAATCTAATCCTTACAAACCAACTCTTGAAAATGTGATTGAGTCATCAGAAGTAATTCAGATGCTTCAGTTTAATTTTAGTTTATTCTGATATGTTTTTTTATTAACAGTCTGGACACTGCTGAAAATAGTGACGGAATATAGAGTTGATTGAAAAAGTTTTTTAGTTTACTAAGTTCAAATGTGATATCGAGTTTGCCTGATTGATTATTCGTCATGTTATGTTAAAGTTGGGTTTTTTCTCCCTAAATTTAACGCTCGGTTTTACAATTAAAGTTGTCAACAATAAAGTTTGTCCACTTGTTACCTTCCCTTAGGCGAGTGATGCCTTGTCCTTTGCTGCCATATTATATATCTGCTTATTTTGGTAGTATTTCAGCTTTATGATTATGTTTTTGAGTTTTATATGAGGTGGAAAACATTTAAGGGATTTATGTCTGCGGAATGTTCTTACTCGTGTTTGTTTTTCTTTCGACTGATTTTTAATGAATTTCAAACTGCCTTATGTATTTTTTTAAGGGTAAAATTCGTTCGACTGAACAACTGACATTTAATCTTAATGAAAATGTCTTACTTGTGATGATTTTAGATGATATTAGATATTAGAATAGCTCAGTGGTAACGTCTCTGACTGCAGTGCTGGGTGACGCGGGTTCGAATCTCAGGAGGGACATGAGTTCCTTCAAGGTTGCAGATACGCCTTGCTGCCAACTAGCACGAAACCTAGGTCCAAGGCTTCCTGCCGATTGCCTCCAACCATCTAATACCAACAATTCACAGTGCACGGTGATGGCGAGCTACCTAGAATGGTGGCCACATTACAACCTGTTTGATAGAATTCAGTCTGCACCAAAGAGAGGACTAGACGCATCACACTAGTTACTAGCGTCAAATCAAAGTGTCTTACTGTTGTCTAGAAATAGTGTGAAGAAACAGCAGATTTCTTGACATCCAATGACTTAATTTTTACCAAGGCGTTTAAGATTATCATTTCATCACCTAAGATACAATTATTATTGTAAGCAAACTTATTTTTGAGTTGGCTACAGATCCCAAAAGACTAATTCATCACTCCTAATCTGTTTACCACTGAGGATGTAATGCAACTTGTTTTTTTAAAATTTTCCAATTCTACTGAAAGACAGAATGAACTAAGGGAAAATAGTATATAGTTTTTTTTCTTCTGTTGATACTGTCATTTATGTAATGACACTTTTTTCTTCAAGTCTTGCGGCGAATTGACTTCAGTTAGGAAACCATTGGAAACTAGGGAATACCGGGCAAGTTTTGCCCTAGTTTGAAACTGTTCAGCAATACGCATCCATGACCCGAACCGCGACCTAATCGATGGTCTTTACATTACAAGGCGAGTTCGTTAACACTTCAGCCACTGGTACGGAATCCAATGGCCTGTGAATTCTAACTTCTGCTAATTTGCGTTAATCTTGAGATTATGGATATTTAACTTAAGATGTTATGTTCTTATCGACCTAAGTTATTTCATCTGTGACATAATCCATATAATTTCTCTCATGTAGTTATATGTTTACTTATTTTTATTGCAAGTGCAATGGCTTGTTCCGTCTAAACATTTGACATGAAACCTACATTGTAGGTGTGATAGAGACTAGCTGGAGGGAATGGGGTTGGCCAATTGTCAATCGTCAAGAATTTTATGTGACTTTGCCACTAGGGCCTCCAGAGAATGGTCCATGGAATGAAGTCCTTCTTACTGACGAAAGTGGTTCTCATGTTTTGCACAGAGCTCAAAACAGCGGTAAGTTGTTTATTATTATGACTAAGCAGAATACTTATGATTTTTATTAAATTTTAGCCCGTAATACGTCTTTTACGTGTAGCCAGTTAATGCATTCACATATTTGTTTGATAGTAATTCATAACTGTTTTATGCTGGCTGATATCTAGCCGCTCAAACTACAGGCATATTTTGAACGCATGACCATCTGGTTGAAAATTGTGCACCTAAACCTCTTTATGACAGTCACACCACATCGAGAACAATATTTGGAGTATGCGTACTATATAGTACTAAATCTTAGAGGTTTATCTGGGTCCAGGCACTTGAAATCAGTCTGTCGGTCGTTATGGACAGATTATTACATTTCATACCTGTACATCTATTGGAAAGAAAGAAAAAAACTCAGACAATGGAACAAAAATAATAAAAGCATCGTAGGATAGCTCGGCAATAGGGCAGAGAAGGCTTATCACACAAAGAAATGAGATGTGACTACCATTATGAAAATAAGTTGCAAATGCTTCCTGTCGAAACCACATCATCTTGCCACTTTAACTAGCTGGGTGCCTATTCAACAAAAGCGGAATCTAATTAAATCTCTTGCCATCAGCATACGATGCATCTGTAGTACCGATATGTTAGAAACGGAATTAAATCTTTGGAGAGAAATCTTCATCAAAAATGGATACCCACCAAGATTCATTGATAAAAATATCAAACTAAAAATTTGCAGCAATGAAACTTCACTTTCGCCGAAAAAGAAACTCTACATGAACTTGGATTTCAAGGGAGATTTAGCAAGTGATATTCTCAAGAGTAGGATCAAATCATCTCTGAGAAGAATATTCTTTGCAGCAACACTGAGAATAGGGTTCTCCAGTCGCCCACTGATCTGCAGAAGCCTTAAGGACAAGATCCCGCATCTGACCACTTCTATGCACACATATCAGTTCATCTGCCAGGTACATCGGTCATTCGATGCGCATCCTGTCCAAGAGGATAGCCGAAGTAAAGTAAAAGTAAGTAAGAGGATTCAAGAACACTATCCAGCATGGTTACGAAAAGGCAATAGTGGTACTATAAGGAGTGCGATAATTGAACATCTGGTTAACACTGTTCATTCCATCTCAACAAACCCCTCTTGCTTCCAGGTAATCTACAGAGTCAAGAATAACCTACCAAAGGGAATACGGTTTCGTCTTCTTTGTATCGTTGAAGATCTGTCCATTCACATGGAAAAACCGGTGCTGTGCATACAAAAGAGAATTACTCAACTACTTCTACTATCATGGTAACAACTTTGTTGATTTTTGACGACTTAATTTTGTTTCTTTACTTGTTTCTTTAACTGTTTATAATTCTTATGTTCATTTAGAACTCCTACGTAATTTCGTATTCTCTACTCTGTTCCTATGTGTATCCTGAGTACAACTCAGTCATCAAACTATTCATATTATTACGTAACTCCTTTTTAACAACTGTTTGTGACAACTCATCACCTTTATTACTACACTAGTTTTATTAACACCCAATTTCCTTGACCATTTTTGTATAACGTAACTGCACTCAAAACTTACTAATTCTCACCTGTTTAGTCAAAATAACCATAACTAATTATTATTTTAGTTTGGCAAACTTAATGTACACATACATACAAAATAACCCATATGTATATTTGCGATTGTACAGGTAAGAAAATGAATTCACCGAAAAGAGACTCTTCGCTGAACTACGTGTTTTGTTTTCATTAATGGAATTATTCATGAACGTATATATATATATATATATATATATATATATATGCATTTGTAAGACGGAGTACTGAGGTTAAAACTTAATTAGTGTCGGCCGAAATGCTAATTTAGGCTGGCGGATTCAAAACAACAGATAAAAGGGAAAGGAAGACATTGTCAAGTAAATAAATGTTGATTGGAAATACACTTTGCCACGGCAGTTTCATTGTAATGGTAAATAATTTTTGAGCATGTAAAACACGTTTTAGCTTTTACGTGCCTATGGGCTCAACAAATTGATAGGATAATGGGCAATAAATTGTGCTTGAGATATCATGAGTGAAAAATACTGTATCAGTTTGTGATTTGTCAAATAAATTAACTCTTTAATGGTGGCATAACGGTTAGGACGCTCGCCGACCATGCATATGATCGGGGGTTCGATCCCCGGCCGGCGCACTCCTTTACCTCACTAAGCCAGAAATAAACCTGGTGAAGAGGAAAGGCTGGGCATGAGGCTAGCAACCCCATCCTGTAAAAATAAACACTGCTACAGAAACTTCAAGCCACTAGCTTGAAGCCCTATGTTCCACTGGGGAACGTGAAGGAATAAAAGAAATGGAATTATGTTCTACCACAGTACACAAGTTCTATTCTTGTATCAAGTTTAAGTGTGCAGTCCAAAAGTCATATATATATATAAAGTTAAAGGACATGTTAGAATCAAATTTATCATCCGTCCTTATGATGTGATTTGCGATAAATGATGTCGGACTTATGTTTTCAGTTTCAAGTATGATGGATGGTTTCATTGTCTCTTATGGTCACTTCAGTATGTACTCCGTTGTTCGAATCAGTGTTCACTGAATCGGAAGTCAATAAATGTTTAAACACCTGACAAGTCCTGAGCACGTTAAAACAAACTTGAGGTTCCAATAGTAGATAAATTCTACAGCAAATCAATTTACTTCCTATTTTCACCCCATGAAATCTGGGTGTTAAGCGAAGCTAGTTTGCTCACTATTAGTTTACGTTTTCTATATTAGCGAGTTAACACACTATATTTAACCTCATTGGATTAAATTCTATTTATGCTACTCTTAACTTGAATTCATTTCTTATTGATATGGATCTTTCACCTAACGGAACAAATGAATATCCTTCCCTTTTAAAAAGAAATCTTTATCGTCACTAATTCTATCTTTTCCTATGGACTCCGGTCAGGCAATGCCTTAGGAAATGAAAATGTAGGTCTTGTGAATTGGAAAATATTAATCTTGAAAAAAGATAAGTACACTATAACATACTGGATGGTATGGGACATGTGGAAACGTGAATTTGTTTATTATTTTACTTTATTCCTTTATGTTCCCAGTGGAACATTGGGCTTCAAGCTAGTGCTTTGAGGTTTCGGTAGCAGTGGTATTTATTTTTACGGGATGAGGTTACTAGCCCCATGCCCAAACTTCCATCTTTACCAGTCTTATTACTGGCTTAGTGAGGTAAAGGAGTTGGTGAGTCGGCGGCAGGGGATCGAACTCCGAACCACGCGTGGCATGGTTGACGAGCATTCTACCGCTGTGCCACTGACGCACGGAAGCGTGTAGAGTAATTAATAAATAAAAGGCACACTCAGTCAGCGTTGTGCATTAAACTTGAATGTACCAGTAAGTGCCTGCTAGCCAGATTATTGAATTGATCTAAACACAAGTGATGACTAAAATCTACTGTTCTGTTGTTTTCATGTCATTTTTTTCATTTCATAGAGATGAGAAAATTTATGAACGCCTTTGACTGGAAGATAAAATATCACTTTTATAACCTCGTTGTTTAATTTCTACCATCAGGCTTTCTTACCGCTTGAGTTTTTTTTGAAACATTTCCCACTTTCAGTTACTACGCCACCTAATTGTGTGGAGCTCAATGGGCAACTGGCCTCTGTAAACTCAAAGAATTGTCATTTACCAGTTTATCAGGCATATTCTTGCTCAGGAGAAGCATTTGGACATTTTGTATTTGTGAATTATGCAAATCGTAATGACTTGCTTCTGTTTGATAAATTACAAGAACGAAAGAAAGGTCAGCCAAGTCTGTTATGCAACAAGAACATAGTTGTTATAGCTCGACTTGGTAAAGGAACGCGACAATCCAAGTTAAGAAATCTAATGAAACATTGCGATTGTGGTCATAATGGTGATCCACTCCCAGATCATCATCCTGGAGGACTTATTCTCTATCCTGATCCAAGTGATTTTACTGTAAATCATCGTGTATACCCTGATGGAAGTGGACTTCCTGGAGATGCACCGGTATTTGGCCATATTAATATGAAGCACGGTGGAGGCGATCCGAATTGCACTGGTTTTCCATCACTACGTGAGTTGCTTTATCTTAAATGTTTTAGCGTCACTTAATTTTGCTGGTATTATCTTCTTGAACTACAAGTACTTAATTAATACCACTTCAGCTTCTCTTCTGTTTACCGAGAATAGTTTACTCTACGTGCTTCAGTATTATTAGAGATTATATTTTATGGATATCAGTAGTAGCTACAGGATTCAAAGCATTTTTGAAGTTTAGGAGTGTTTAAGAGATGCGTTGTAATGTTCGGTGTCTAAACTAAAAGTATATGCCGGATGGGGGTTCTAACTTAAATCTAATAAAGTTTCTAAACATGCAGTTTAGGAAAATACATTCAACTACGGGAGAATAACATTATTTTGAAACACAAATTATGAAACCGAAAGACAGTTATCTTGATATATCTGTAAGGTACTGTACCAACCTTATTAAACGTAATGTGTCTAATTACCCAATCCGTCAGTACACCAACTGATTTGTAGGTACTGATAACAAAACGCAGATCAAAAAGACTCAGTTATTACCGAACAGAGCCTGGTTAGATGTGTTCCCGTCAGATCAAAACTTGAAACTCCTAAAGTGTCCACAGGGAGGCTAGATCTTCATTTAAGCAATATTAAGTTGATTTAGTTTGATCTACTAATTTTAGCCCTTGGTTCATAATAATGCCATGAAAAGAGCACTATGGAGTATCCCACCCTTAGGAGGTTAGCGTGATACTGTCAACCTTCAACCCTAAGAGGCAGCTGTACGACGGACAGACATCACTTTTTCCCTAAGGACACTTATTCTATGAGGGGAATCTAGAATGGGGAGGTCAGTGTGTAACGACAGAAGACAAGGGCCAGGCAACAGATCGTTTGTTGAGAAAATCAACAGATATTTATAGATTTTTATGTACATTATTATTCGCTATTGTTAGCGGAGAAGCAACGTCTTCTGATTGGTTGTTTTCCTGCTGAAGGTTATTCTGTCATCTCATTGTTGCCGTTTCTTAGACAGCCCGGTGATATGTCTGCTAATCATATCCTCCCACGCCAAGTCTGCTGTGATTGGTTGTTGAGTTCCCCAAGGTTAAGCTTTGTTTTTGTGTTTTCTCATAACCCCGATTTCGGACGTAAACACTGACGTAAATTGCTGTCTACAATTTTGTCTTGCAGACAGCTCTCACCACAAGTATAGCTGGACCGCAGAACGACCCATGTGGTATCGTCAGGCGTCGTTTTTCCCCTTAATTTTTGAGGTTCTGCTGGTATTCTGCGATAAGAAAAATAGAGAATGTTAGCACGGACGGAAAAATTCTAAATCCATAAACGTACTAAAAGCAGAGTTAAGGCAAAGGATACGAATAATGGACCATAGAAATTCAAAAAAACTATTTTGTTTTTTCAGCTTTTTTCTTCATTAATTACATATACAATATAAAGCGAATAAAAATCAATTTTATGAAAGTCTTTCTTAAATATGGTTACAGTACTTAAGTAACCCAACAGTTATATGAAAACTTAAATTGACCTAATTAACAAAATCTGCATACCATTTGGGCCGACCAGATAACCTGACTATTTTATTTTTTCTGTTTGTGTGGTGAAGAAAACGTGAATAACGTGTTTAATTTTGACCACAGCGATACAAATAATCACTACAGAATCCTGATAAGCTACTATTAAGTCGTTTTTTTAAATATATTAAATATGTGGAAAATCTTTTGCATTCAATGCGATTGTCTTTTAGAAACCCTTATATTTCTGTTTTTCTAGATTGAATATTTACTTTATTAATAGCTTCATCATATAATGTTAAAGGAAGCAACAAATTTAGTCATAATCAGACGTTTTTGAAAATGTACCTTCACATCATTCCACCCTTTTGTATTTCAGCTCATATTTACAAAACAGATGCTTTAGTACCGGGTGAGGCACTTACTGAGATTCCTGTTCAACCTATTGGTTATAATGACGCGAAAATATTTTTGTCATATCTGCAAGGACCTAGTGTTCCTAGTGATTGGGAAATGAGCTTAGCAAGAAATTTGGGACCATCATCTAACAGGTTTGTTTGTTGTAGTATAGTATCGGTTAAATGCTCTCAGTAATATGTTACGTACTATGAATTTCGTGATCTATTTGAAGTTTGAAGTGGCCTTTGGTGTTGACCGTCTATTAAGCAGTTTCTGGTGCTGCCCGGATGTAAGAATTCTCTTCGTTGCACATAGCAGTGCACATTTATAGAATCCAGTATGTAGCTTAACCTTCCATTGTCTTAATGAACACCTCCAATCGACAGTGGTAAGTGTTAGATCAACTTTCAGGTTTTCATATTTAGCTTTGGGTATTTCACTATGAGATCAAATGAATTCTTTGACATGTCTGTTATTTGGTCGATGATGGATAGTAGTGGAATCCAGGATGCGAATTTCATTCTATTTGGTATTCGTCATCTGGATGTACCTGCAATCCCCAATGAATGGTGGTTTTCTCACTGAAACTCAAACCCGGCACCCGTTGTTTCAAGCATCAAAGCCCTATCCATTAGGCAATTTGGGCCATGAAAGCCACGTCTCGTGCAAAGGGTGCCAATTATTATTTGCTTAGGGGGTTTTGTCTTCTCCGTTGACTGATTATGTTGAACCAAGATGTCTGGTCTCTGTTGAAATGGCGGTTTCTGAGGATTACTTATGAAATAATTTGGTAGATGGTGACTCGCAGCAGAATCCAGGGTGTGCGTTTTGTCGTATTTGACATCTACCTTTTAAAAAGGAGAAGTCCTGTTGCGTTGCATGAATGTTTGTGCAGCAATTTATCAGGTGTGTGCTTTCAATTTCTCATACTAATAAATAGTTATAACTTTGACTGGTTTCAACTAATTAAGTGTAGCGAAATTGATACATTTGTTTTTAGTTTACAAGTGTATAAAGTATCTTATTATTATTGTTTCCTTTAATTCCTAGAGGAACATAGTGCTTCAGCCGTGCGTCTCCATTGCGTTCGGTTCTCTGCTAGAGTTTTCACATGGCTCCATGCCTGCCCACACGTTTTCATCTCCTCTTCACATGACCTCCTCCAAGTCACCCTTGCACTGACGACCAACTCGCCGCTTCCCTTTCGGGTTCCACTCTAGCGATGGCTTGTCTAGTGATGTTACTTGATGGTTTGTTTCCTCAGAGTATGGCCAGCCAATCCACCTCCATTTCTTCCTGCCTATTTGTTTCACAATCGGTTCCTGGTTGGTTCGCTCCCAGAGATCTCTGTTTCTGATCTTTTCTGGCCATCTGATCTTGAGTATTGAGCGAAAACAGCTGTTAACGAAGGTCTGTAGTTTGTTTGAGATGCTCTTTATGACGCGCTGGCGAAGTCTCTGATCCATTGTAGTTGAAAATCCGGATGTTATTTTTGATGCTGAGTGTTGTTGACCTCCACACAGACTTGAGAGTAGTGAAAGCTTGTCTTGCTTTTCCGATTCTTGCTTTGATATCCTCGTCAGATCTGTCCGCCTGTAGTTGAGACGATGCTTCCCAGGTAGGTAAAGGGGGTTGTTTCTTTCAGGTTCCTCCTATTTATGCTGATCGTTGTCTGTTGTTGTTCTTGTCCAGGAATCTTCATCACCTCTGTTTTCTCTATGTTCACCTGAAGTATCTTACTGTTAATATATGTGTTTGTCTGCTCTTCGGAATGCGGCATTTTAAAGCTTTTCTCCAAAAGTTGTTGTTATATTTCAACAACCTCCTAAAAGGAACGTGGTAACATACATTCTTTTGTTCTGTTAATTGCGATATCAATAGCTACTAGATTCCATCCGATAGTTCTGTAAACCAAAGGTTTTAGGTGTAATGCTCCACGGAGTCGTGAGTAGGCGTCTTACGCTTGGATGAAAAATATGTCCAGTGCTTTAAGGTTTTGTTTTTATTTCATTTAGTGACGGAGTTTACTTGGAAGGCATCAGTTTGTCACGAACATGACATCTGAATGTCAGTCTACTGTTGGTTAATGGCTAAGTCTGGGACTAATTCGTAACGCTCTAATGAAACTTCATGACAGGTACAGTCATCGAAGACAGGTGTGACTGGAATTACTCATCAATAGAATTGCTTAGCAGTAGAAACATATTTCGAAAATGAAATATCCCCATATTGAAATCAAAACAAGATTTTGAGCGAACAATTGTTGTCGATAACTTCTTCTTCAGGCTCTACAGTTATAAATCCATGAATAATAGAGTACATATAGCCAATAAAGGCAAATGAAAATAATATCAGAAACTGTATTGGGGTGCATGTTTAAGTTGAGATGATAGTCCATTAGTTACCATAATCAATCAAATGTGTTAGGGTGTATAGTCAGAAAAATGTGATGAAGTGTGTATGAACAATTGGGTGATATAGTGCTGTTTTATAGTCAACAGAATACAAGTGTCATTGGGGTGAGAGAAATGCGATAACCACAAAATGCATACAAACACGCATTAACAAAGGGGACACTGAATGTGAGGGCTGACCGATAATGTCTAATGATAAAATTGTAATAAGATGTTACAGAGTTGGTAGGCTTAGTATAAAATCACAAAGGTTGACAAAATTAAGGGTAACAATGAGGTGAAATAAACTGGGTGGAGAAATGGATAATAAAGACATGATATCACAAAATGATAATAATGGTAGTAATAATACGGAAAATTATGATCCTGGTGACCTTATAGTGGGCCAGGGTAGACAGAGAGAGTGAATAAGTTTTTTCTGTATACATAAGTCTGGTCTTTCCCTATTAATCTCTAAAGCCTCAGCAATGGCTAGGAGGCGTAATCGTGTGCCTTTGGGGAGATTGTTCGGTACTCGATACACAACTGTAAATGACTCATCTACTTTGATGCTGTGTTCGCTATCCACTAGATGAGCCAGAATTGCACTATTTAATTATTGGGTTGCTCTTTTCCTAAGCCAGACCGGAATATGTTCACGAGTGCGTAAAGATAAATTCCTTTGGGTGCGACCTATATAACTAGCTCCACAGGAGCTAGGAGTTGAATTTATATATATACACACATTGATGTCGCCATTTTGGGTAATCTATCTTTAATGCACAGTGTCAATATCGGTTTGGTTGAGAAAGTGACATGCAGTTTTGCGGCACTGAAAGTTCTTTCAATTGCTCTCGTTAATCTACGGTTTAATATGTCTCTGGATATATATCGAAAAGACTGAAAAGATGCAAAACGTTTCATTCTTTGTTAGTATTGTCTACTCTGCAGCGATCTACTATTTTATATTGGTATTTGTTTCATAATTTCAGTCGTTTAACCTGAAAAATCGATTGATTTTACTTGCTTCCAATGTGTTTAAAGGTAGTTTCCGATAATAGCACACCATGGTAATTAGCTGTCGAAATGTTGTGCTTTCAGCAGTTTTCTTTCTCTCTGGTTCCTTTGTTCTTTTGAAATTCAATTTATTATTGCTGTCTGAAATTATATTTTGGAGTAGAATACAAATGATATGCATTTTATTTCTACAGCTGTTTGAAAATAATTGTCAATAATAAAGTCTCTACAAATCCTGTGAAGTTATGCAATGTAATTGGGATTATGCCTGGAGAAATTACATCCGTTAGCAACGAAGCAGATCAGTATGTGATTATGGGTAATCATCATGATGCTTGGGTTCAAGGTGCATGTGATCCAGGATCAGGTATGGTGATTCTACAGCAGATTGCTCAAATTCTAGGTGAAGCCTATCGTGATGGTAAGACAATTTACTATTAGCGTACATGCTAAAAATCTAGAAGTACAATTTGTAGAAGAAATAATTGTGTTTTTGTTAAAATCATAATTAATTATAACTATTTTCAAAGATATCCTGTCTTAATTAGGCATTTTTATCGAATAGAATGCAATCACTTAATTTCAGATATTGCTTCTCTTATGACTGACATTTTTGCACAATCTAGAGACTGAGTATTTAACGTTTCTCTTACACTTAGAAGACAAAATGGATTGTTTAGCCAGGACTGCTCACTATCACTGATGACATTCATGATCTTAATGGACTGGATCACGCATTTGACCATGGGGAGTGAAGAAAGGGCATACGTTGGACCGACGAGAGCATACTGGAACATCTGGAGTTCGTAATTAATTTACATCTAATATTATATATACTTGATCTATAGGAGTCAACCAGCAAGTTAGCAGAAAAGATAGGCAGCGAAGACAGGTATTCAGGTGAGCATAGAGAAGACAAAGGTATTGAAGATAACCAAGATAAGGAAGCTACCGCTTTCAGGTACTTCATTTGCAGCATGGATGAGGATGTCGAAGCCAGTCAACATCAGGAAAGCAAGACAGGACTTCATTACTCTGTGTTACACATGCGCAGCCATCGTTTTCCTCAACAGGCAATGTTAGCCGACTGACATAGGATCAGGTCGGAGAAGAGCTAGTGGTGGTCAAACTGGGACATGACATCAGTCAATGAAATCCACAACAGTTAGTTTAAGCCAGTCACGTAAGGAGGTGCAGACTTGCTGTTCGGAGTCCTCGGGATGGTAAACGCCAGTGGTTGAAGACAATCGGTGATATGGCTCAAAATCGTTCTCTTCATAATTTATAATATCTAATAAAATTTTATTGTTCTTTCACATTACTATCCTTTTTGCCTCGTATTTCTGTTGTTCATCTCTTTCTTTGAATTCTCCGTTTACTCTCTTCTCTTGTATTGTGTGCTACACGGAGTGTGGCAACTAGAACTGCTGCACATCTGTACAAAGTTCTATGTTGAAACCAGTCAGTCAGTCACTGTGAAATCAGTATGGGAATCTACTGCAGTAACCATAAAGAACAAGACTCAGTTTTTCAATCTTAATGTCAAATCACTGAATGTTTTTGTTTGGTTCAGGGACTTGCTATACGAATCATTAAAAGCGTCTGCAATAGCATGTTGCAGACTCCCATCGAAAACTGCCTTAGCTCCATACTGAAGATCAGATGTCTGGTTAGAAAAGCCTAGCGGCAAGGAACTTTGCCGACGAACCAACCAACAACCTACTGGGCCAAAAAATATTTCGAAGGAAATGGAGATAGGTTGAACACACCCATACGAGGCCTTTGAGTGGCATCACACATCAGAACCCTAGGTGGAAAAAGAATGGTAAGTGATGAGTTGGACTTCTTAGAGTGAGATGGAGGAGATCGTATGAAGATACGATGAAAGTGTATGGTCTATTGTGAAGGCAGGTAGAGAGGACTGCAGGGTGTAAAGGAAATGTACTGGTGAAGCCCTATTTTTCACTCGGAACACAAATGAATAATACTAATAACCAGGATCCTGTCTATGAATTCACTCATATATATATATATATATATATAAGAAACAAATTGATACCCATTTGCTTACGTAGTAATTAATTACAGATGAGTTAGGCAGAAGTAAAAAATAGTTAGGACAATGTTAGGAGGGGGAGAGGGAAATGGTTGGTTTTTAACATTCGTGTATCGATGATCAAGGCGGGGGAAGTGACTGCATGAATTTCTCCTGAACACATGGGCTTGGCTTCTCCGGGTGGGTATTGACGGCCCCGACTTTATGTTAAAGGTGAACTCAGTATGCAAAGTGAAACCTAATCAGAATGTAAAAGACAACTTTAAATGTTTTATCAATATTAACTTTAAGCTCGTTATCTACAACGAATAGACTTTGCTTGTCCCTTACTTAATCATGAATTATGATGTTTGATAATCAGATAAGGAACACGCTTAATTGTTCAGTCAATGTAACTGTCTCCACAAGAGCAGTCAGACTGGTAAACATACTTAAGGAAGGTGAAACTAGATCGTTTATCCTTACTTCTCGAAAGTAGAATTAGAGTAACTGTTGAGAGACAATATATCCCTGCTGCGGTGAATGCTCTTTTTACTGTATTATTTAGATGTTGCGTTATTATTTCACTGATGTAGTCACCAAGAAGCTGCAGGTTTTAGAACACAGAATTCTTTGGATCTGTCGGCATACTGACTTGCTTCGCCAGTAAATTCGTATTTTTATCAATGGGTTTTACTGGATAACCATTTCTACTAAGTAATTCATTGATAATCTTGAGCCCTTCTTCAAGTCACTCTTTTGAACGAATAACTGTAGTTCTATGAACCAAACATTATACAAAATTGCACTTATATTTCAGTTGTAAAAAAATAAGGGTACGTACCTGTCGATACAGGGTTTTCTACATATTTTCACGTAACTTTGTGAGTGTCGTCATAAGATTCTTCTTCTTCTTCTTTTTGAGTGAACTGTAAACTTGATATTTATCTGCATGTTGTGGATAGCAGTTTTCTTGAACGCCATGATTTTAGAAATTGCCTTGATGCTTCTAAGCCTGCGCTCTGTAAGACAGTCATGTTCTCTCAGTGATTTTTGCGTACTATAAGGATACACGCAATAGTACAAATATTCAATTGTTCTTCGACTATCTTCAGGATGACTGGGATCGAAAGTGAATTGTTTTCAAAGGAAATCTTTTTTCCACTATCCAGCCGACATTTTTGTCATCCAGTATTTCTTGTGCTTTCTCGACACAGTTTGTTTTGGTTATAATACCGGTGTTTCTCCCCTTGTCTCCTGGTAAGGCCAGAACTGTCTTGCAAGACCTTACTGAGTTCACAGTATCCTGTTTCCCCATTATTTACAGGTACTGAGTTTCTTTGGTTTTCATGAACTGTGAGTTCCATTGTTAATCATTAGGTTCATAACAGAGATCCTACTGACGCACTGAAATCAAGCATATTTTCTTTCCCAGAGATGTATTGTTCGATATGGGATTTCATAAATATTAACTATACACTCATCTTTCTCCTTTTCGTTAGCTTTGCCATTTTGACCAGCTTGTCGTTGATTTTCTACCTCCCTCATAGACTTTACGCACTATTTAATAATATTAACTGCTATGACTAACTCACTCATTATCACATCTCTAATAATTTGTCCCAATATTCATTGTTGAGTTCCAACTACCTTGTAGTTTTTTTCCTTCACGTTCCCAGTGGAACATAGAGCCTCAAGCTAGTGGCTTGAAGTTTCTGAAGTTGTGTTTAATTTTTTTACAGGATGGGGTTGCTAGCCTCATGCCCAACCTTTCCTCTTTACCAGCATTATTTCTAGCTTAGCGAGGTAAAGGAGTGCGTCGGCCGGGGATCGAACGCCGGACCATGTGAACGGTCGGCAAGCGTCCTAACCGCTATGCCACCAACGCACACCTTGTAGTATTTTGGTTATTTTCTTATTTGTATCTAAAGGTATTAGTCGCCCCATTCCCTCCCTCTTTGTTGTGGAATCCTCCATCTAATAGGGCAATTGATTGATTGCTTGTAGTGAACTCTTTGTGGTAGGATGTTTTGACGTGAATGCTTTTGTTGGGTGGGGGCTGTCAGGTTGTCGAAGTTTTATTTTCTAGTAAATTAAAGCTTATCTACATAAAAGGACTTTTAAACAACGAAGTCGTTTCATGACTAGTGAGAAGGATGGAGTTTGCGTGTTTCCAGTTTTCATTTTTCCAGAAATTCTCTATAATGTTCATTATGTGTATAAATATCAAGCCACTTGGATCAAACATGTATGAGAGCTAGATGAATGTGTCTTTCTTCGGGGAATAGTGAACAAATAAATCGTGAACCTTTTAACCTATCCATATTAGGTTATGAATTCCTCTGGGTAATTATTTTTAGTCGATATCTGTGTTAGCATTCTCCTCTTTACTCTCAGCGTATTAGCTGTGTATATTTGTTAAGTCTTTCTGAATGAGCACCATATAGGCTTTATGTAAATAAACAGATGGCCAGATAGATTATTGATCTAATAGTCGACTAATCAGTGTTTTATATCTCTCTCTCTCTTCTACTCCTTTAACTAATATGCTATCCTGTACTTCATTTATTCAACTTAAACTACGCGACTAGAATTATCCTCTGTGATTATAATATCACCAACATAACTTCTGTAATTTTCAAGAGTTGGTTTGTAAGGATTAAATTTGTTTTTACGAGTTTGACCACAGATTGATATCAGTTAGAGAGCCATTGATAACGAGGGAGTACTGGACAGCTGTTTCATCCTAGTTTCTGGGAATCATCGGTAATACATACCCACTTCCAGGGTTTGGACCCAGGACTTTCCGGTTACAAGGCAAGCTCGTATACAAACCAACTCTTGAAGTTTAATCTGATGCTCGCTAGTGACTTGCTACAGGACGGAGTTTCCTGGAGTTCTACTGAGAAGTACTGAACAGTGAGATCCATCCAGTCAAGTGTGAGGATGGATGTCCCACCGATGATATTGGTTGGTAGTCGCGCTAAATCACGAATTGGTAGGAGTTAGAAATCATGGGCTGGGCATTAAATCTGGTCCCAGTGGCAGAATTGTATACGAGTTGGTCTTGTAACCAGAAGGTCCTGGGTTCGAACCCTGGCAGTGGGTGCGTACTGCCGATGATTCCCAAACTAGGATGAAACAGCTGTCCAGTACTCTCTGGTTTTCAATGGTTCTCTAACTGATATCAATCCGTGGTCAAACTCGTAATAACTTCTATAATTTGGGATATCTTTAACAGATTCAATAAACATAACAAAAAGAGGAACTTCGGAGTGGTAACTTGACAGGGTCAGTTTAAAGGGTAAACTCTTCACTAAACATAATAGTCATAGTTTGAATTTAAGTACCTTCTAGCTGTACTATAACAGCTCAAATATTTTGTTTTATTTCAGGTAATATTTAGGTAAACTATCAGTAATTAAATCGTAGCTGGGTGGTTAAGACAGTTCGGTGCATCAGATTTAATGTACCTATTGTCACTGAACATTGTATATTAATGTGCTAATTCCTATTCAATCACTATTTTCCAAAAAAGGTTTTAGACCTCGTCGTACCATAATCCTTGGTTCTTGGGATGGTGAAGAATTCTCTCTGTTGGGTTCCACACATTTTGTACAAAACTTGGAATATGAACTATTATCCAGATGTGTTGTTTATATCAACTCAGATTGTCCAATAAAAGGTCATAAAACATTTTCTGCTCGAACAGATCAACTGTTAGTTGATAGTTTTTATAAAGCTGCGAAATTAGTTCAAATTGATCCACCGGAGAATATTCAGTCACTTTATGATGAATGGTTGAATGATGGATCAACTGATCGTAATGAGCCCATGTAAGCTTTATACTGTTTTAAAGATACATGTAAATATTTTATTTAAAAAATTTATTTTTCTATAGTTTGGTTTGTAAGGGCTAGTTATGTTTTTACGAGTTGATCACGGATTGATATCAGTTAGAGAACCATTGAAAACCAGGGAGTACTGGACAGCTGTGAGAAGTCACCAGTGAGGTTCAACCAGATGTCACGTGTGAGGATTGATGTCCCACCAACGACATTGGTTGGGGTCGCGCTAAATCACGAATTGGTAGAAGTTAGAATTCATGGGCCATTGAATCGGGTCCCAGTGGCTGAATGGTATACGAGCTTGCCTTGTAACTGGAAGGTCCTGAGTTCGAACCCTGGCTGTGGGTGCGTACTGTCGATGATTCCCAAACTAGGATGAAACAGCTGTCCAGTACTCCCTGGTTTTCAATGGTTCTCTAACTGATATCAATCCGTGATCAACTCGTAAAAAATTTATATTGTAATTTCGTAGGATTAAGTCAGTTTCAGTTTGTAAGAAATTAATTTGCTCAATTATATAATTGTTATTACTATCCCTTTTGGATTCTGCGTGGAACATATGGCTTCACCAGCTTATCTAAATCTCATCCAGTTCTCTGCAGTCATCTTTATCTGACTTTATGGTTGCTCATAAGCTCTTATCCTCTTCTGACACGATATCCTTCATGTCACCCTTGGGCGACGAATTTGTCGTTACCTATTCGGGTTCTACTCTAGGGTCTGCATTGCGTGTGATATCATCCAGTGGTCTCCTTAGCGTTCATCCAATCCATCTCTATTTCCTTCGGCATAGGCTCTTGGTTGTTTTGTTGCGAGATTTCCTTGTTACTAATCATTTCTGAACGAACATCTGATATTCGGAATGAAGTGAAGCCGGATATTGATAACAGTCTGCCGCGTAGCCTGTTCAAAATGATTTTTGTGGCGTATCCTCTAATTTTCCGAACGATATAGAAGAAATGACTTGACGTTAATGCTGAAAATCCGAATCCTGCTCTTTATACTGAATGCTAGAGATTTCTACACTGATTTCAAATTATGAAGGTCTGTTTTGTCTTTTCGTTACTGACTTCGACATCTTCATCCGTGCTGCCTGTGGTTGAAACTACGCTGCTTAGATAAGTGAGAGAAGTGAATTTCCTTTAGATTTCTGCCGTTGATAGTGACTGATTCTTGTTGTTGTTTGGTATTTTCCTCACCTCTGTGTGTCCACCTTTATGTCTGTGAGACCTGACCATTGAGAGTGGAAGACATGAATAGATTAGCTGTCTTTGATCATAGGCGTCTGCGTTCTATCTCCCGTGTGAAGTGGTATAATTAGGGTAGCGATATTGAGGTTAGGCGTCGAGTAGTGCTAGGTAAGGAGGGGAAATCAATCGACGAGGCTGTGAAATTACATCGACTGAGATGGTTAGGAGATGTGTTACGTATGCCTAATCATCGCCTTCCTCGACGGGCAATGTTAGCTGATAAAGGATCAGGCTGGAAAAGAGCTAGCGGTAATCAAACCAAAACATGGAACCAGTCAATGAAATCTTCAACAGTTAGTCTAAGCCATGTAGGAAGGTCTAGACTTCCTGGTTGGGGTCATGGGGACGGTAAAAACCAATGGTTGGAAACAATTGGTGATATGGCTCAAAATCGTTCTCAATGGGTGGTGCAGATGCATCCACTCTTTGTAACTTATAACTTCCAATGAAACTATATTGTTTTTCGCCATTACTATTCCTTTTGTCTGATATATCTGTCTACTGTCTCTAACATGCATTTCTGCTACTTTCTTCTGTTGCTTTGTGTGGTACATGTAGTGTGGCTAACTGAACTGCGGCGCATATGTGCAAAGTTCTATGTCGAAAACAGACAGACCTTTGGGTTCACTTGAAGTCCTGTCTTTGCTGTTTCTTCTTCTCAAGGTCTAACTCTTCTAGTCTTTTTGTCAGTCCGCTTATATTATTCATTGTTTATTTTCGAAGCAATAATGAACACTTATTGATAAGACCATATGTTTCATGCTTCAGTAAATAAACACCGAAAGGATAATTGGCACTGATTAGCATTTGATAACAGCAAACTTGCTTGATTAGAAAATCTCTCCTTCTTAGCGTTTCGATTTGTTACAGTCTATCAATAGGAATAGGGTCATACGTCAAGCACTATTGATCTTTGTGGAATATTTTCAAATCAGTATCAGTTGTATGACAATGCTAAGGTCTACTTTATCGACTGATTATTTTCCTTCCCTCCTTGGTTTCGTTTGTTTGCAGAGATTACCACCCAGGAATGTAATTTTTCTCTAATTTGTTACTAATTTCATTCTTTTTCCGGTTTTGCTTCAGTCTGTATTCATGCTAATAGCAGTTTTCAATCATGCTTTCGTCGTTAGTCTGTAGACAGTAGTGTGTTGTCTTGTTTCCAGCGCTTTGATGTTCTCACCAACCCAGATAACCTTTTCCCATTCTAATGGACCATCACACTCCTAGAGGTAAAGTTTAACGCTTTCGCTAGATTGAATTGTTGTTTGCACGTAAGATTGTTTCGTCACTCAAGAGTAATTAAGTTATATTTAGCATGTAACCCTTAACTTGTTAGAGCTGCCACAAGATTTTACAATAAATATGCATGCCTGGAAGGTAATGACTCCAGTGATTTGCGTCATATCTGACTGATCTGAGGCCTTTTCTATTTATCATCTATTCCAATATGCAGCGGGGTTGCAATTTGCGGTCGGGTTTCGACGGGTGAAACCACTATAGGATCTAGGATTGTAGTGAAGTTTGCTAGAAGCTGGAAAGTCTTTAGATTTTATTTCATTTTCTGTGCAGGAAGATTTTCACACAACTAATGCCAGAGTTTGTCTACGTCGATATTATTCTGTTGTTGTTGTGGTTTAGACAGTAAGGTTCTATGTTTCATCTCTTTTTTCAGTAGTTTTTCTACAACTAACCATCTCAGTATGCATGCATATTGCGCAACATCATGCCAGTAGGTTATAGACTCGTAATCTCCACGGGGACTGCAGTTCGGACAGTTAGTAATAATTAAACAGAAGAAGAGCTCAAATAAGCGAGGATGCATATTATACCTTTGTTTATATGATTATTAGTATATTATTCGAACACATACTTGGTACATTATGAGCACCAAGAAATGCTCCACACAAAATCTCATCGTTTTTGTGAGGGCTGGAAAGCCAACTGGACGCCCAGACCTAAGCAGGTGGTTGTCCTAAATGACCACACCCATCGCGAGCCTTTGACTTGAAGTCTGATTCACAGCGTCAGGAGCTAAGTCCACATGATTCTCGGTGGCTGAGATAGGTTCATACAGACTCATGTGCACCACAGGTTTTGAATCGGGGTTTTCCAACTCTCGTTGGTTGACGTGCATATCCACTAGTCCGATTGTAAGTGTCAGATGTTCTCATTTGCCCTTTCACTTTTGTGAGGAACATTCCCGCCGCGTGAATGAATTGAATGAGACTTACTTTTTAGAGGCTATGAATGTGTAGCAACATGAGCATATTTCATGAGAAAACCGAAGTCTGTCCACTCTCAGATGTACTAGGTCGTGTATGAGGTTGACCTCCGTATAATCTACTTTCTTCTAGCGATTTGTCATTATTTAACTGTTAATTTTTTCAACAAATGAGTTCATTTTTTCTGATGCATATAAGTGGTGGGAATGCCAATGCTCAGAAAACTTTCATAAACAAAAATTACAAAGCTTCTTATAATTTTACTTAAAAATTTTTATTTCGAATTATTTTAAAATCGATATTTTTACAGTGTATCTCCTCTTGGCGGTGGATCAGATCATATACCATTTGCTTATCGTTTGGGAATTCCATCTACTTATCCAGAATTTTGGCCAGTAAGCTTATATATTGCTATCTGAATAAGTCAATGTAAACCTGTGGTTAACATAATTATTTCCCCAGATTTCATTATAAATTTCCCTATCATTCAAAGTTTGAAAATATATGTAATCAAATTCCTGGCACTTCAAACGTGTAAGCGTTATGCGTTGCGATACGATAGCTAATCTTTGTGCAACAGGCGCTGAGTTCGAGTCTTGGTGTGAACACCACCGTTTATTAGAGACACAAGTAGCCTGTCCGAATGATGATCCTCATTAACCAAATAACATCATGTTAACTTTTAGACATCATTGAAATATACGTGCTAAGAGCCGCCATATCAACAGAGATTGAACATTTCTAACCAGCAATGGGAAATTCAAAAATGTCTTCAACAAATATATTAGCTCGTTATGGTACAAAGTGTGTTCTGACTTCGATGTCACTGGAGTGTCATGTGCCATTCTGTCTTTGGCTTTGTTTAATTAATAGTGTCACATTATGGCTCTACCTAAGCATGATAATCTTATACTACTAAAGTGGGATCTCAATAATTTGCAAATCGCCATTTACGCATTTAGAAAAAACAACAGATTGAGAGAAGAAATATATTCCTTTTCAATTAGTTCCTCATCATCCACTGGCTGTACACTAATATATAGTTTTGTTGTTTTTTCACATCAAAATTTCTACCGATCAAGTTGTTATTTTAGTTAATCAGTTTTAGGTATGGGAGGGAGTGTAAAATTAAAAGGTCAAAGGTCATCAAAACAATTAACTAGTTTTCTATAGTTTGGTTTGTAAGGGTTAGTTATGTTTTTACGAAAAGAATAGCCAATTCTATTACTTTACTTGTATTTTATGTAATTTTTCTGAGTCATCTTATACTTCTTAGATGAGTTACTGTCACATCTTCAACCTGCTGTACCCTACTGGTCACGGCTTCCCACTAGAACCCAGGTTAACTGCCTGAATAGGGCCAGTCACTAGTGAGCATCAGATTAATTTTCAAGTATTGGTTTGGTAGGGATTTTGTTTGATTTTGTGGAGGATTTCATCATGAGCTGACATCAGTTAGAGAACCACTGGAAAACCTGGGAGTACTGGACAGCTGTTTCGTCCTAGTTTGGGACTCTTCAGCAGTACGCACCCACCGGGATTCGAACCCAGGACTTTCTGGTTACAAGGCGAGCTCGTAGACCATTGAGCCACTGGGACCCGATCCAATGGTCCTTGGATTCTAACTTCTGCCAATTCACGACATAGCGCGACCATTTCGCAATGTCTTCTTAGATGAGTTACTGTCACATCTTCAACCTGCTGTACCCTACTGGTCACGGCTTCTTCTTATACTTCTTAGTCATCATTATTTTACAGATTCCTTGATTATGTAATAACTTGTTGCTAATGCCTAAGAATCAACTTATCTTGAATTCCGTAATTAATTCTCAACCCCTTCAAAACATAGATATCTTGTTACTGATATCAACTAGTTAATTTTTACGAGTTGATCACGGATTGATATCAGTTAGAGAACCATTGAAAACCAGGGAGTACTGGACAGCTGTTTCACCCTAGTTTGGGAATCATTGGCAGTACGCACCCACAGCCATGGTTCAAACCCAGGATCTTTTGGTTACAAGGCAAGCTCGTATACCATTCAGCCACTGGGATCCGATTCAGTGGCCAGTCCAAGAATTCTAACTCCTACCAATTCGTGATTTAGCGCGAACCCAACCAATGTCGTTGGTGGGACATCCATCCTCACACGTGACATCTGGTTGAACCTCACTGGTCATGACTTCTCAAACTAGGATGAAACAGCAGCTGTTCAGTACTCCCTGGTTTTCAATGGTTCTCTAACTGATACCAATCCGTGATCAACTCGTAAAAACATAACTTACCCTTACAAACCAAACTATAGAAAACTAGTTAATTGTTTTGATGACCTTTGACCTTTTAATTTTACACTCCCTCCTATACCTAAAACTGATTAACTAAAATAACAACTTGATCGGTAAACCTTTTGATGTAAAAAAACTATAAATTCGTGTACAGCCAGCCGATGATGAGGAACTAATTGAAAAGGAATATATTTCTCCTCCCAATCTGTTGATTTTTCTGGAGCGGTATCATCAAAGCAACTGCAAATCTCAATTTTTGTTAGAGTTTTCATGTGATTATATATATATATGTATATAATAATATATACAATAGGTATATCGTAATGAGTTCATTTCATGCGAACAAGATCATCAATTCAATAAGTACCTGGCTTTATGGCAGTGTTTTGCAGCATCAATAAGAAGTGTCATTTAGTGAAATTACTCAAAAAGGAAACTGACTTTGTTTACAGGGATCTACTTTTCTCTTGAGTACACTCTTTCTGATTTGTATGATTTTCAGTGAATACAGTATTTACTCTTTGTTAGTTACCAATAGTTTTTATTGAATAAGTTATTATATATACTGAACGTCTTCCCAAGCAGATATGTTTACTTCACTTCGAAAATGAAATTTCATTTATATGAATAATATTTCGCGCGTGGTTACATATCTGTCTAATGTTTCTTTTGAGTTGTTAAACAAAGTTGTGAATTGGTTACAGGATTTCATCATCAGCTGACATTGGTCAGAGAACCATTGGAAAACCTGGGAATACTGGACAGCTGTTTCGTCCTAGTTTGTGACTCTTCACAGTACGCACCCACCGGGGTTCGAACCCAGGGCCTTCTGGTTACAAGGCGAGTTGTGAATTGAAGTTTGATGACGGATTGATATCAGTTAGAGAACCTTTGAAAACCAAAGGAGAGTATTGGACAGCTATTTCGGCCTAGTCTGGGAATTTTCAACAGTGCACAACCGTCAACCCTCCAGGGATCGAGTCCAGGACCTTGAGTTCACGAGGCGAGCTTGCTGAGATATTCAACCGCTTGGACGGAATCCAATGACCCATCAGCTGTAACTTCTATCAATTCGCGATTTTGTTTGCTCCACCATCAGCTAATATCATCGGCGCTTACTCGTCAGTACGCTCAACCTGGTGGACTCCATAGGTCACGACCTCTCACTAGAACTCCAGAAAACTTCGTCTTGTAGTCAGTCCCTAGTTAGCTTACCCTTTGCTTACGCTTTTATTAAAATTAGTCATTGTTCATTTTTCCCTAATTGCAACCATATAGAATCTGATCTTCCTCACTACACGTTAAAAGCTAATCTAATGTAAGCCGGAATGTCCCTTTTTGTTATTTTCTTTACTGCAAATTTTAGTCACTCAATACTTCTCTATCAGTTTTCTTTTTGTTTTCCCTTATTAGGATGATGGATTATACAACGCATCAGTGTATCATACAGCTTATGATGTTGTTGATGTCGTAGAGAGATTCACTGATCCTGCTTCACCAATCACTGGTCACCTTCCTCGACATCGACTAATTTCTCGTTTAATCCTAACCCTGATTATTCAGTTTGCCTGTGCTCCTCGTCTTCCGCTATCTCCTTTGAGGTTGTCTCAATGTTTGCTAGATAACTGGTCACAATTTATGGAATTAGTAGCTGGTCAAATACCAAATATAGTGGAGTATGGTGTACATTTAGGTAATATTCGTCAACTGTCTTGATATATGTTAAAAAATATTATTAGATGATTATTTCTGTCTTTTATTTAAGCAGCGCCATCTCAACCACTGGTGGGAAGGATCAAAAAATCGAGGCAGACCTTCATTAATCTGAAATCAGCGTGGAAATCTACTGCACTTAGCATAAAGAACAAGATTTGGATTTTCAACGGACGCCTTGGCTCCCCATACTGATGATCAGATAGCCGGTCGGAGAGGATTAGCAACAAACTAACGAAGAAACTATTGCCAAATAATTATTCCGAGAAAAATGGAGATTTATCTGATGCACGCTGAGGAGACCGTTATGTGATATCAGGCGTCATACAGATCCTCGAGTCGAACTTGTATGGGAAATGATGAGTTGGCCGCATGCCTGAGAGTGACCTGGAGGAGGTCGTGTGAGGAGGAAATGAGAGCTTGTGGACAATCATGGAGCCAGCTTAAAATGACTCAAGAGAACAGCTTGAAATGGAGATGTGCTGGTGAAGCCCTTGTGTTCCACTCGGAACCCAAGAGAACATTAATAATAAAAGTTTAGACCATATATTTGATCTTTTATTATTAAAATAAGTCCTGATTACAAGGTATGCCAACTCTAACAAGTTTATGTTCTGTAGAAGTTTCATTCTTCGAATTTAAAACCTAATGTTTAGGAGAGTGGGGCGAATTCGTATAAGTTTTCATGCTCTTCTGCTATTGATGCTCCTGGTGACTTCCCAGTTATTGGAAACTTGATTATTTTTCACGTCTTGAAATATTGGTTTTGAGGAATTATTATTATTATTGTTTCCTTTAATTCCTAGAGGAACATAGGGCTTCAGCCGTGCGTCTCCATTGCGTTCTGTTCTCTGCTAGAGTCTTCACCTGGCTCCAAGTCTGCCCACACGTTTTCATCTCCTCTTCACATGACCTCCTCCAAGTCACCCTTGCATTGACGACCAACTCGCCGCTTCCCTTTCAGGTTCCACTAGAGCAATGGCTTGTCTAGTGATGTCACTTGATGGTTTCCTCAGAGTATGGCCAGCCAATCCATCTCCATTTCTTCCTGTCTATTTGTTTCACAATCGGTTCCCGCTGGGTTGGTTCGCTCCCAGAGATCCAACTCTGTTGCTGATCTTTTCTGGCCGGCCATCTGATCTTGAGTAGTATTGCGTGAAGACGGCTGTTGATGAAGGGGTGTAGTTTGTCTGAAGTGTCCTTCGTGACGCGGCGCCAAGTCTCTGATCCGTTTAGTAGCACTGACTTTACATTGGAGTTGAAAATCCGTATTTTATTTTTCATGCTGAGTGCCGTTGACCTCCACACAGACTTGAGAGTAGTGGAAGCTTGCCTTGCTTTCCCTATCCCCGTTCTGATATCCTCATCAGTTCAGTCCACCTTTAGTTGAAACGATGTTTCCCGGGTAGTTGGGTAAAGGAGATTGCTTCTTTCAGATTTCCCCCATCTATGCTGATTGTTGTGTGTTGCTGTTACTGTTGGCCGGGAATCTCCATCATCTCTGTTTTCTCTATGTTCACCTGAAGGCCTATCTTCTATGGATGCTTCTTCTGCCAACTTGTTGCTTTCCACACACATATCTTCCAGTTTGTGGGAAATCAGACATATATCAGACATATATCACACCCCTGTTTACTGTCTATATCATGCATTTCTTCTACTTTCTTCTCTTGCTTTGCGTGCTACATAGATTGTGGCGACTTGAACTGCCGCACATATGTGCAAAGTTCTATGTCGAAAACAGACAGACAGACAGAGAGACAGACAGATATCATCGGCGAAGTCCAGATCCTCCAAGTTTTTTGTGTGGGTCCATTTTATGCCTGTTTCCTCATTGCCCGCTGTTTGTCGCATTATCCAATCTACTGCAATGAGGAAAATCATTGGCGATAGTAGGCAACCTTGTCTTACTGCTGTCCTCACTTCAAAGGATTCCGTAAGTTTCCCGTTGTGGATTACTTGGCATGCAGCATTGTCGTACAGCTGTTGGATGAGATGTATAATTGTCGGTGCACCCCGTAGTAGGGAAGTAGTTCCTAAAGCACCTCTAGATCAACGTTGTCAAATGCCTTTCAAAGTCGATGAAGTTGAGATAGAGAGGTGACTGCCATTCCAAGCTTTGTTCAACGATGATCCGTAATGTGGTGATCTGATCAATACATGACTTGTTTCTCCTGAATCCAGCCTGTTCTTGTCGAAGAGTAGGTGAAATTAAAGTTTCTTGTTACTGTAAAATGCTGATTATCGTGGTTTGTACTGTAATTTCCATCATTATCTAAACACTACATTGGTTTATTATGGCTACTGAGAATCCCACCTACAAATATTACTATGTAAACTATATGATAAGATAAATACATATAGACACTACCTCCAATGTACATTCCAAAATGAATTTTATTTGTCTATCATATTTTGTCTAAGCTAGGAGGATGTATAAAATTGTTTCGAATTGTCTACCAGGTTCAAATATTTTCACCTGTACCACTATTTTATTCTTGCCTTTAAGACTGGATTACAGAAGAACTTGAAAATTTTAAAAAGTCATCGCAAGATTTCGAAGAATTTGTGAGTTCGGTAGAACAAAATCATAATGAGTAAGTTCCATGAAGAGTCACAATTTAGAGCTGTGTATTTTTTTTATTGATAGCCGTTTCTTACAGAAAAAGCCTAATTCGACAAAAAATGTTTTAAATAATTTCAGTCATTTTCTATTCTAGCCTCTTTTCCTCAGTCTCCTCATGTGCATTGATTTGTAGATATATTGCTCACGGAGGTTGACTTATGCATAAGTGGTTGTCAGTTTCTGTCTTTCATTTCTTGATTTAAATATCGGTATCCATCTCTCTAAGTGATTAATTGAGAGAAGTTAATCCTGGATACAAATTACGGCGTAGTCGAAAAAGATAAAATCTTCTGATTTGTTTATTTATGACTGTTAACACAGGTACAGTTAAGGTCATCCTATGAGTTATGTGAAGTGACTTCAGCGACTCAGGGATTGACTTGTTACCAGGGAATAATCTCGTTGACTTAGAATATGCAGATGATATAGTCCTTCTAGATGAAGACGCTAACAAAATGCAGAGTCTTCTGAACGCCTTGAGCTGCAATCTGCTAATGTTTGGCATGCGATTCTCTCCCGCCAAATGTAAGATGATGCTACAGGACTGGACTACATTGACTCCTAGCTTAGAAATAGGGCGTGAAGTGGTAGAGCACGTTGACCGCTTCACTTATTTGGGAAGTTGCATCAGCCAGCCCAACGGGTCTATCTCTGACGAAATCTCAGCAAGGAAACAGAAGGCTAGTTTCGCATATGTCAGTTTACTCCGTCTCTGGCGTAGACGTGATATCCGGCTATCTACCAAAGGGTGAGTGTACTGCTCAGCAGTCCGCTCCGTCCTCCTTTATGGCTGTGAGACCAGGTCATTGAAATTGGAAGACATGAAAAGGCCGACTAGCTGTCTTTGATCATACGTGCCTGCGTTCTATCTCCCGTGTTAAGTGGTATAATAAGGTGAGCAGTATTGGGGTTAGGCATCGAGTGCTAGGTAAGGAGGGGAAATCAGTCGATGAGCCTGTGAAGCTACATCGACTGAGATGGTTAGGACATGTGTTACGTATGCCTAGTCATCGCCTTCCTTGATGGGCAATGTTAGCTGACATAGGATCAGACTGGAAAAGAGCTAGTGGTGGTCAAACTGAAACATGGCATCAGTCAATAAAATCCACAACAGTTAGTTTAAGCCAGTCAGTCATGTAGGGAGGTGTAGACTTCCTGGTTGGGGTCATTGGGATGGTAAAAACCAATGGCTGTAGACAGTCGGTGAAAAGGCTCAAAATCTTTCTCAACGGTGCAGATGCATCCACTCCTTGTGACTTATAATTTCCAATGAAACTATATTGTTTTTCGCTATTACTTTTCCTTTTGTCTCATATCCCTGTCTACTGTCTCTATTTTGCATTTCTTCTACTTTCTTCTCTTGCTTTGTGTGCTACATGGAGTGTGGCGACTTGAACTGCTGCACATCGGTGCAAAGTTCTATGTTAAACACAGACAGACAGACAGTTGTGTGAAGAACATAACTTGCAATAGAAGCTTCACTGTTATCCGTCACATATAACATATACTATTTGATAAAGTCACAATAACAAAGCAGAAATAAAAATGGCATTCGAACCCACAGACTTAATCAGAAATTAATTGTGTTCCTCTCCAGAACAAGAGAAGTTTAATAAGGACCCTCAGCTACAGGGTCAGAGCTATATCTTCAGAAGACGTAAATGAAGACGGACATAGGATTATATATGACACCTTAATTGAAAATAGCTATCCAGAAAAGTTCATCAAGAAACACATGACCAAGAAAGCAGAAAAGGACTATTCTCTATCTGTAAATAAGAAGCCTTCATATGTTCAAGGGTGACGCACCTAGTGAAATAATTACTAACACGTTAAAGAAATCCATTCAAAGAACTTCTAATGCTGGTAAACTACAAATCTTATTTTCTACACGACCGGTTGTGATTTCTCAATTGAAAGATGAAGTACCTAGACTAGCTACCTCTTCGTGTATCTACCAATTCAACTACACTTGTGGAGCGAGTCATGTTGGCCGTTGCTCTAGGAACTTGATTTTTCGTACTCGAGAACACCTATCAGTGTGGCTAAGTAAAGGTGTAGTGAAAACTATCAACATTTCGATATTAGACCACCTGGTCCAAAATGGCCACAAAGCTAGTGTTGAAGAATCCTTCTCTATCATCTATCGGGTACCAAATGAATTGCCAAATGCATCCAGGTACCGAATACTCCAAACAGCATAGGCTATTGCAATTCTCCCAAAACAACCTGTCCTCTGTGTGCAGAAGAAAAAGTTCCAACCACTATTAGTGCCCTGGACTGCTTACCTTATTGCGTCAACCTTTCTTGATATGGCCCTCCATCCAGTACATATGAATTCCCATACCCCTTGTCATTACACTTGTATTAACTAACCTTTTGTTTTCTTATTTAAACGAAGTTGTTAACTTACACACTGACTCACATACAACGCACATTACCTTTTACCCCAAATTTTTTCTCTCCTCCCGTCCTTGACATGATCATTCATCCATCTCAGGTTAGCAATCAATGTAGATAGAATTTAATCTGAACATGACTCATGAGAATTCATTATCATATATTCGTTGTCATTTATAATCTTTCACTTTATAGTACTGGTGTTCAACTTAGTGTTACAATTATACATATTACCACATGGATATATTTTGGACTATAATCTGTCAAACATCTAGTGTTTTACGAGTTGATCATGGATTGATATCAGTGATCAACTCGTAAAAACATAACTAACCCCTACAAACTAAACTATAGAAAACATCTATTTGCAGATAACTTTTGAAATTTCGATGTTACCTTAAAAAACACTAATTTTGTCAATCACACTCATTCTTACATTATTATGGATATATAATTCAGAACAAAATATTTAGAGCGAACAGTTGTTTTCAATAAATTCTTCAGGCTCTACAATTATAAATCCATTAATTTAAGCATACAATAGCCAATAAAGGCAAATTAGAATCATATCAGAAAGTGTATTGTGGAACAAGTATAAGATGGGATGGAACAATAGTCAGATAGTTTTTTAATATGCATGGTCAATGAGAACATGGGACAAAATCAGATGAAGTAATTTAATTTAATGGTGTGTGTATATATATAAATATAGTCAACAGAAAATACAGGTTTCGGGAGTGAGTGTAATCAGGGTGTGTGAGACAATATGAAAATAAACCAACGAATGGGGCGGTCTAGACACAAGTTCAAAGTTGAAAATAACAACAATAAGAATGATTGTCAAATAATAACGATGATATGGTGTAAAATTACAAGTACTATCGGTGAATGATTGTCAAATAATAATAATGAAGTGGAATGAACAGGATTTTGTAAATACAATAGCAAGTTAGAAAAGCACTACTTAAACCTAAGGTCGAAAATGAACGTTTGTCAATGAAACAGAGGAATAGAAGAAGAAGAAAAGAAAATTGTGAAAGGAATTTATACTGTTAATGGAGGATTTGTTGGCTTTATTGTAGGCCAAGGTAAACATAGTGGTTGAACATACTTCTGTATGCAAAGAGATGGTCTTCTGGTATTAAGTGCCACCGCTTCAGCTACTGATAGAAGATGTAGTCGAGCTCCTCTAGATAAATTACTAGGAACGCGATAAATAACTTACTTACATTTGGTATTCACCATCTTATTATCCTACAGACAAAACAACATGATTGGTTTATATTTGAATTTTTTACTTGTAAATTTATGTATATTAGTTATATATGTCCTAACCAAGTTCACTTTTAACAGTTTGAAAAATTTGGGTATTGGGTATATGGTATTCATCATAATAAAGGTTTTTGTATTTCCCAATGAATGAAAAACAAAACGATATTGCTGCTTTTACTGACGTTTCACTATTTAATGCTAGACCTAGGTCAAGTTAAAAGTCTATTTTCTCACCTCTTAACTCTTTGTTAAATATATATATATATATATATATATATGTAAATTCTGGTTTAATAATATTCTGATAAAGCTACTAGCATTAAATAGCGAAACGTCAGTAAAGACAATATCGTTTTGTTTTTCATTCATTGGGAAATAGAAAAACTTTTATTATAATGAAAATTAGAGTTAAGCCTGATGAGATCTAACTGAAATATGATTCGACAATGCGTTAAGGATAAACTACCGCTTATGTCCACCTCTATGTGCATATACCCATTCACATGCTCGCGTGGAGCTGTTTACATTGGACGTTGTAAGCGTGTTCTCCGTAAATGCATAGCTAATCACTACGCGGTTTGGTTAATGAAATGTGAGCATAGAACGATGAAGTCTTCAATTTGTGAACACATTCTAGAATCAGGTCATTCAGCCCCACGTGATTTATCCTTCAAAGTTATTTACAGGACCAAATCCAACCACCCCAAAAGCTTACGTTTTCTCCACTTATGCACAGCCGAAACTCTTGCTATACATGGACAGAAACCTAAATTATATGCTCAAAAAAGCTTTTTTAGACCCCTTTCTTTACCTTGATGATAGTTATGTTCTTTTATTTTTATTTTTTTCATTTTACCACTTGAATTCATTCCACTTCACTTCATCTTCACCTTCTTTACTGTCATTATCACACTATTAATTTTTAGACAACACTTGACCAACAATTTAAAAATCTTTATACCAGTTCACTTATTTGATAATGTTTAAAAGTTTTGTAACTCATCCACTTCAACTCAACCCCCTTAGTTATCTTTATTCTTATCATATGTGCAATATTGACTGAGCAATCTCTAATGCCACTTAAAGCCTATTTCCATAATATAAATACGACTGTACAGCTTGAAAATGAGGTAGTTGAAAAGAGATATTTCTTCGCTGAAAAAAAACGGGGTTTTTTCTGATACCCTGCAAAGATTGTCAGGTAAAATGCATAGGCCACAGTAGTAAAACAGAGTCATTCAGATTAGCGCAGCACAAATCCTAGCAAAATCTAGATTGGTTGATCCCAATATGACAAGAGGTCCAGAAAATAACTCAGCTATAGAATTACATGCAGTTATGCACAGCTACACAACATGCTGGAATAAGATGCTGGTCTTTAGATCTAAAATAATAGGAAAGGATATTGAAACCTGAAGTTTGATATATCGAATCAGCTCGGAATGTGTTTTTTTATTCCTCTACGTTCCCAGTGAAATATAGGGTTTCAAGCTAGTGCTTTAAAGTTTCGGTAGCAGTGGTGTTTATTTTTATGGGATGGAGTTGCTAGCCTCATACTCAACCATCCCTCCTAGCCAGTCTTATTACTGGCTTAGTGAGGTAATGGAGTGCATCGAAAGCCAGGGATCGAAACACGTATGGCGTGGTTGTCGAGCATTCAACCACTGTGCCACGGACGCAACGAAATATGTGTAAAGGGAATGATTCAACGCCTGTCTCGCACATATCTGGAAAATTCCACTACCCCTACGACGAATGGGAAGTAATATACAGAACTATGAAAATCAAGTTTTGAAGTTGTTTATTTATAATTTATATGATTATGAACAACAAATTGTGTTCAAAACATCCTCCTCGAGTAAATAATACCACTTCACTACATTCAATATATCCAGTCAACAAATAAATATAGAATTAGATTCTGCCACAGTGGCCGAATTTTACACATATAATTCACAATAATAATTTCTCGTGGAGATTATTTATTTAATTGGTGGATGGTGACTAGCAGTGGAATCCAGGATGCACATTTCATCCTATTTGGGACTCGTCATCTGGATGTACCTGCATTTCTCAGTGAGTGATGATGTTCCCACTGAGGCTCGAACCCAGTGCCCATAGTTTCAAACGCCACTTGGGCCACGAGAGCCACCTCTTGTGCAATGGGTCATATTAATTATTAATTGAATTTTTTAGATTTGTCCCAAATAGGACGAAATGTGCATCCTGGATTCCACTGCTAGTCACCATCCACCAATTAAATACTAATTAAATGCTCAGAAATCGTCGAAGCATCTGCTCAAGAAGCCGACATGTCAACCTGAGACGGAGCACTTCGGTCCAATCAATCGACGGGAAAATCTAAAAAATTCAATTAAAACGAGATTATTTATTGTTTGAAATAAATAAATAAATAATCCTTTAATTTTTCTAAATTTCAGTTTTCCATCATATCTCAATCGAATACTTTCTGGTATTGCCAAGCATTTTGTGCTAGTTACCAGTCAGACTGAAAAAGCACCTTTGAGAAATATCATCCAAGGGACAACAGGTTATAATTCCGTTTATTTTCCCTATGTTAAATCTTCGTATGAAAAGTTCAGAAATTTATACAACAGGTGTCAAACAGAAATCTTACAGTCCAGTGAACTGAATGAATTCAAAGTGGAACTTTCAAATATCTCGAACTGTCTACAACAAATTTGTAATTGGCTTCGAAATGGTTTAATCGGTTTACATGTTTCTTCAACAGTTTAGTTGGCATTTTCTTCATACTTATATTTACATGTATTATTTGTTTGGCTGTTATTTCTACTGATTTTTTTTCTTTCGATGTGCGATTCATCTATCTAGCTATGGTGTTTTTCACTTATGTATTAGGAAGTAGAGCGGTTTTAGGCAATTGATAAATACAAGTTATTGATAATGAAAATAATGCTTCTTTTTTTTCGTGTAAGTACAGGCTACGCTACTTGACTGTTCCAACCAAAGTAGGTGGTTCGAGCTTCGAATGAATGACCCAATAATTGCAGATTGACCGCCTGAACTGATGACCTACACCTTTACATTATTTCAAAAAGTTCATCCATAGCGTATAAGTCGCCAACCAAATTTTCAACTAATATCATGTGTATTAGAAGCACACTGGAATTTAACGCTAGCGACACATTTTGTATTTCTTAGAAATTTGCACAGAAATGCAGCAGTTCAGGTTGTTACATCCCATGTCGCACACAAAGGTAGACATAAGCGTTAGAAAAGGCATTCAAATGTGAGGGAAAAAGATTAGTAACATGGAAAAACATGAGTGTTTAAGGGGTCTGGGAAACTACAGAGTGAATGTAACTCAGCCATTGAGAATGATCTTGATCCATATCACCCTGGTAGTTAGCATCCTAAGTATCCCAACCAGGTAGTCTCTACTACCCTACATGTCTTTGTTAAACTAACAGTCAAAGTCTTCATGGGTTGATTCCACCCCTAACTTTCTTCCAACCTAATCATATGTCATCTAACATTGCTTGCCGAGGGAGGCGGTGGTTCAGAATGAGTAACACGTGTCCCATCCGTCTCAATCGATGTAGTTTCACAAATTTATGTACTGACTTACCCTCCTTACTCAGCACTCTTTGTCTAACCTCAAAAATCTCTGGTTTTATAAATCTCCCACTTTCGATAGCAGTATCTCACAGCCATAAAGAAGGACAGAATCGACTGCTGTGCAGTAAACACGTCCTTTGATCAATAGGCATTGGTTACCCTGTCTGTACCAGAGATGAAGTAGTTTAGAAAAAACCATACGAGCTTTTCGTATCTGTGCTGACTTTAAGTTAAAACAACTTCCTAAATAAGTGAAGTAGTCAACATGCTCTACCACTTCGTTCTCTCTCTTCAAGCTAGGAGCTGGTTTAATCTATTCATGATGCATAATCTGACAGGAGCGAACTGTGTCCCAAACATTGGAAGGTTTCTGTTTAAGTTGTTAAGAAGACTGTATTTTATTAGCGTCTCCACCTAGGACAACAATATAATCCACATACTCTGAGTCGACGAGTCTACATATACATAAATATATATATATATATATATATAGATATAGATACTCAAGTAATCACCTGACCATTGTAGCATATATCCAGTATCGGTGTCCGCCAGCCGATGATGGGCTTGAAGAGTAGTTCTTGAAAACTTCTAGGTGTACTTGCACCGAAGGTAGGAATTGTGCTTGTCAACGATAGCCTTCATAATGTAGGATTTTGTCTTACAGAAGGCAATTGTAAGTTCGTGATATGCACAAATATTTTGTAACTTATACATTTAAGATGAAGCGGTGCCAGTCTTTCGGGTTTGCTCTTTAAAGCTGACAACTCAGCGCTAGATGTATGGAAGTTAAGGTAAGAATAGAATTTGAACAGTATGGTCGAAGATGCCTCCATACTAGATTAGTCTATTTGATGTAACACACAATGCTATGGTGTTAATAACCGGGTGATGTTTCAAGCATAATTAATTGCTCATAATCATATCGACGTATTCATACCACTTCCTAACCTGCTTTACTCCACTAAATGTTTTGGTAGCAGTTTTCCAAATGTTCTGGGTAAGCGTTGCATTAGCTTAGATGTCAGTGTGTTTGGTGTTGATTCGATACACAAAGATTCGGGGCCTACACCGAAATTGGAGGAGCATTTAATTAATGCAGTGCTATACCCGCTGAAATACTGCGTTGAATCAGACGTATGTTTTTTTACCTTAGTCCAAGGTAATCAGGCTGAAATAAGTACCTTACCGAGAGTGACATAATATTGCTGTTTGTGTTAATTAGGCATTCTAAATGAACAAGAGTGATATTTAAAAGGTTATATTCATACAATGGTATTATAACTAGGTCTGTTTCAAGTAATCATGTAATTATTATTATTACTAAGACAAACTTCGTACATTATGGGCACGCCATACAAAATCTCATCGTTTGCAAAAAGGCTAAGATACTGCTCCGACGCCCATATCCGAGCAACTCCCAAGCATTTGACTTGATGTCTGATTCACAAGTCAGTGTAGCAGCGTCAGGAGCTAAGCTCCTATGATTCCCGATGGTTGAGATAGGTTGATACTGTGTTGGATCCTTTTGGATTCTGGACTCATGTACACCACAGGTTTAGAATCAGAGTTTTTCAACTCCCCTAGGTTGATCTGTGTATACATTAGTCCGATTGTAAGCTCCAAACGTTCTCATTTGCCCTTTCACTTTTGTGAGAAACACTCGCACCGTGTGAATGCAATCAATAAGACTTATTTTTACGAGTTTGACTATGGATTGATATCAGTTAGAGAACCATTGAAAACCAGGGAGTACTGGACAGCTGTTTCATTCTAGTTTGGGAATCATCGGCAGTACGCGCCCACTGCCAGGGTTCGAACCCAGGACCTTCTGGTTACAAGACCAACTCGTATACCATTCAGCCACTGGGACCCGATTTAATGGCCAGCCCATGAATTCTAACTTCCACCAATTCGTGATTTAGCGCGACCACCGACCAATATCATCGGTGGGACATCCATCCTCACACTTGACTGGATGGACCTCACTGTTCAGGACTTCTCACTAGAACTCCAGGAAACTCCGTCCTGTAGCAAGTCACTAGCGAGCATCAGATTAATTTTCAAATTTAATCCTTACAAACCAACTTTTGAGAATAAGACTTACTTTTTAGAGCCTATGAATGTGTGGTAACATGGGAATATTTATTGAAGGAGTCCGAAGTCTATCCTCTGTCGGTCGTACCACATCGTTTGCGGGGAAAAGCTTCAATAATGTAATTCCCTTACCATATACTGAATCTAGTTTTGGCAATTATAAAACTTTTCCCATTGATCTAATCTACTGTTAATTTTGATTATATTCACTGGATTTTATAAAGTTTATGGAACAGAGGATAACATATATGTATTTACAGATTTTGCATTTTATTTACTTATCAGTGTCACATTTTTTATAAGTTTGATAATTCCCTAAACTAGCCCACGTCAGATTTTACGTATCTTAAATTGCAAGACATGTTGGCGCATAAATCCGTTTCAGGTCTTTCTGCATTATTGTTATTATTATGATTATTGTTCCGTTGGGTTGTAAGTGGAACATAGGGCTTCAGAAGCACACCATCATTGTACCCTTTTCTCTGCAGTCCCTTTTAGTTGACTCCATGATTGTCCAAAAGTTGTTCTCTCCTTCTCACATGGTTTCCTCCATGTTACCTTTCGAAATAATTCAAACCCGTCGATCTCCACTTCGGTTTTACTCTAGAGCGTCTGTTTAATCCATCTCCACTTTCTTTTGCACATTTCTTTGGATGATAGGTTGTTGGTTGGTTGTTCGCTAGAGTTCCTTGTTGCTTGCTTGTCCTTTCTGGCAGGCCATCTAACCTTAAGTATGAACGTCATATAAGCATATTTGTATACGTATCTTTACATAATTAGACTAATTATCTGTGTTTTATCTCCGTTATTTCGTTGTATCTTCAATGCAGCTTGTTTAATTCAATTAGCGGCGTGTATATACATATATAAGTGTATTGATTCCCGGAAGTCCGACTTGCTTTCTTTGTCGTTTTATAATTAGCGAATTGGGTTATATACTTAAAATCAATTTTTTCTCTTTAGTTGGGAGACCATCATTTACATTTATTGTTGTACATTCAGTTAGCAACCGGCAATAATTTGTTGCACTCTTTCATCTCTTTACATTAAAATGTTTAAATTTATGCTTAAGTTTCATTTTTTTTGTGGTTATGACAATAATACACAACAACAAAGTACGTAGAACATAGATGGTTATTTTTCCATTGTTCAATGCTTTGTTTATTAGCGGGAAAAGTGAAACAGCCTATAATTTATGGTAGCTTGCTTATATGATTTTCTAACATTTCTCATCCATCTGTCTACAGGAAGTTATACACTAATATATAATGTATATGTTAATGAGATTTTTGTGATAAAATAAACTTAGTTTAGCGTACATCCCTACTTAAATAGTCATTTCCTGAGATATAAGTGTTTATGAGCATGCCTTCTATTTATTGAGAAAGAACAGAGATTTGTTCACTACCCTAAAATGAACTGATATAAGTATAAAACTTAGGTATTGTGGTAGAGTGTAACTCCATTATGGATAAGATTTTATTTTGATAAATCACACGGTGTTATACAGTAATATTAACTGATGACGTTTCGAGCACAAATTATTGCTCATAATCATATCAAGTTACTAACACAACTTTTTCCTTCATTTATATTTATGTATGGAATTGACTAGATATTTGAATAAAAATCAGTATGAGATAATGTACATTCAGAGGTAATAATTTGAGTGTTATTGATCAATTACAATCAGACGGGAAATAAGATGAGTGTTTTTATAGTCAAAATAAGTAACTTGTTAGGATGTTGTGATGTGCTTAATTGAAATAGAATTTTGAGACTATTTATTATCCTCTTCTGACTTGACTGGTGGTAATAATATCTTCAATATTTCTGGTATTTGCATTGAGTCATTTCTGTTGCATGTGTTGGGTGTAGATTCAATGAATCAGGATTCAGTAATCAATCTCTTTCTCCACCTACATAGATTACTTCTTAGAATCTTAACCCTCTCCCACCCTATTGTGTGGTTGTGTGTTATTGCATGTAGTGCAATTTCTGAGCTTTTTTCTGAATTACTTATCTTCTCGGGGTCAACCATTCTTAACTTGGCTAAATTCTTATGTTCCGACAATCTGATTACCCCGATCTACTAGTTTGACCTATATAGTTGACCTCACAGGCATTACAAGGTATTTTGTAAATTATATTGTTTTGTTTAATTAGGTCCACCGGGTCTGACATAAG